GCATAGGAGAGCAGCACATCACTGTCAGGATGGCTGTCTTGACAGTAGCAATTAGACTGGTTTTGGAAAACATTGGCATCTCCAGGGTCAATTGATGAGGGCTGCTGATTGATTCTCACAGGTTGCTTTGGTTCTTACTATTTGGCATATCTAGAATCTGTGTGAGGAGTCTGTGAGGAAAAGTATAGGATATATTTGGTACACCACCTTCCATAGATGCTAGCTGTTAATATTAAAAGGTTGGAATGGCATTACAGAAAAAAAAAGTGCTCTCTCCTCTTTTACAGAACAAATCTACCAGTACTCCAACTTCACCAGGGCCCCGTACTCACTCAACACCTTCCATACCGGTGCTGACAGGCCAGAGTGGGCTCTACAGTCCCCAGTACATCTCATATATACCTCAGATTCACATGGGACCAGCTGTGCAGGTAGGCGAGCGACTAGGTGAGCCTAGGAAAGTACTGAGTCCAGCTCAGTCTTGTTCCATCGTTGATGAGCAACCTGTTGAGCCCCAGTTCTTATCCTTAGGCGCCTCAGATGTATCCATATCCCGTATCCAATTCGGTGCCTGGGCAGCAGGGCAAGTACCGGGGTGCAAAAGGTGAGCAGGGTTGTTGGGAAGGAAGGTTGGGACTGCCTGGTGGCTCCTGGCACGTGAAGCTTGACCTTTGCACTGTTTACCCTCCACCTGCAGGCTCACTTCCCCCGCAGCGCTCAGACCAACACCAGCCAGCCTCAGCCCCTCCAATGATGCAGGCTGCTGCTGCTGCTGCTGGCCCACCCCTGGTAGCTGCCACACCTTATTCTTCCTACATCCCCTACAACCCACAGCAGTTCCCAGGCCAGCCTGCCATGATGCAGCCCATGGCACACTACCCTTCACAGGTATATAGAGTCCACCTCTGAGATCCAACCTCTGAGGGAGCAGGGTTGTTCTGAGTGGTGGCCAGCTGTGGGTTTTGGCAGTGTCCAGACTGTAACAAGGCATTGAACCTTTGCTTGTAGTTTTTCCTCTGAATTAAGGTGGTTAGGACCTTTTGAAGTAAGATGACTGTTGAGGGCTATGCACATAGAACCTGACAGGACATTCCTATCCACGCACTTCTGCTTACAGCTTCGTTTCTTTTACCAGCCGGTGTTTGCCCCTATGCTTCAAAGTAACCCACGAATGTTGACATCGGGAAGCCACCCCCAGGCCATTGTGTCATCCTCCACTCCTCAGTACCCCTCTGCAGAGCAGCCTACCCCCCAAGCCCTCTATGGTGAGTTGTGGGGCTCACTCCTTCACTGGGCTGTGTGCCTCTCCATTTGGTGTGCTCAGTACGAGGTCTCCTTCCTTCCTGCTGCAGCCACAGTTCACCAGTCCTATCCACACCATGCTACACAGCTCCATGGCCACCAGCCGCAGCCAGCCACCACACCTACTGGGAGTCAGCCACAATCCCAGCATGCGGCCCCTAGTCCTGTTCAGGTACCTGTAATGTGGGAAGAGGGGGTCTGAGTGGTTGGACGAGGAATGGGTGGCTGGAAGAGGACTGGGTAGAGTTGGGTCATTCCTGAGCAGGTGGTTTTCCTGCCTAGCAGAATAATGGTGGCACTCACATTTCAATCTATTCTGGCAGCACCAGGCGGGGCAGGCCCCACACCTGGGCAGTGGACAGCCACAGCAGAATCTGTACCATCCAGGGGCCCTAACAGGCACGCCGCCTTCTCTACCACCGGGACCTTCTGCCCAGTCCCCTCAGAGCAGCTTTCCCCAGCCAGCTGCTGTGTATGCCATCCATCCCCACCAGCAGCTGCCCCACGGCTTCACCAACATGGCCCATGTCACCCAGGTAGGAGCCCTGTTCCTCTATCTTTGTCAGAGGGTGCACTGTAAGGGCAGTCCCGTTTTAGTGCTTGTAGCGCTTTGCTATGCTACTTTGATAAGGATCTAAAAGTGTCTTGTCCCACTGGACATTGAAGCTAATTCTCTCTACAGGCTCATGTTCAAACAGGAGTCACAGCAGCCCCGCCCCCACACCCTGGGGCACCTCACCCGCCCCAGGTGATGCTGCTGCATCCCCCCCAGGGCCATGGGGGGCCTCCCCAAGGCGCGGTGCCCCCGAGTGGGGTGCCTGCACTCTCAGCTTCCACACCCTCACCCTACCCCTACATCGGACACCCCCAAGGTGAGCAGCCTGGCCAGGCGCCTGGATTTCCAGGAGGAGCCGATGACAGGATTCGTGAGTTCTCGTTAGCTGGGGGCATTTGGCATGGAAGAGCTGAGGGGCTGCAGGTGGGGCAGGATGCACGGGTTCTGGGTGGGGATTGAGGGGTCTTGGAGGCAGGGCTGTCCCAGAGGGCGCCTGCCGACCCACACCTGTCTGTGAAGTATGTAGGGTGGGCAGAAGCCACAGTCGCCGCCGCCAGGGGCTTGCTCCTGGCTCTGTCCTTTGCTTCCCTCCGTCCTCGCTCAGTTGTGATCCAGCAGCCCCCCTCCCCACTGCCTCCCCAGCTCTCAGTGACCCCGACTGTCTCCTGACTTAGCCGAGGTAAGGTCAGCGCAGCAGACAGGGCCAGACTGGGGCGTGGGGGGCTGAGCTGGGCAACTGAGTAAGGGCTCTCTGGCCTACTGGGAAACAGCGATTGACCTGTGCTTCTGAAGCCCCCTGAGACTCCTGGAGGAGGCCGCTCCTCCCCACACCCCACACCCCCTGGACGCATTGACAGAGGGACAGCTGCTCGGGTTCTAATGCTCCTGCTCTCTCTCTTTCCCCTCCAACCAGTTCAATCTCATCCCTCCCAGCAGCTCCCCTTCCACCCCCCGGGGAACTGAAGATTGTCCTGGCCGCGACCTGAGACCTCCATGAGTGGAGGGAAGAGTGATCTATGTCTCTTCCCCCCAGCAGCTCGGACCAGTCCTAGCCCCGCCCCCACCCCTTTCCCTTGGGGAGCTGGGGAATTCCTGCCAAGCACCTTGAATGGGAGGGGTCCTTGAAGTGGGCAGGGCTGGGGTCCAGCAGGGGTGGGGGAGGTTCCTGCTCTGCCCTTGCTGGGTCCCACCCAGTCTTGTCCTCCCATCCTCTCATCTGTCCCCCCTTCCCCCCGCTGGAGACGGAAGATCTTTTATTTTCTATTATTTATAACCTCAGACTTGGGCCCCCTGTTCTTCCCCATTAACTTGAGTGTCCTGTGTGAAAGACCGACAGACAGATGCCTCAAGGACTTTTACTTTTTATTACATAAAAAATTTTAAAAAAAATAAAAAAAATAAAATTTTAAACTAACTTAACCTGTGTGTAGTTTTGCTTTTTAAAGCAAATCAGGCGTTGGTGGCACACGCCTTTAATCCCAGCACTTGGAAGGCAGAGGCAGGCAGATCTCTGAGTTCGAGGCCAGCCTGGTCTACAATAGCTAGTTCCAGGACAGCCTCCAAAGCCACAGAGAAACCATGTCTCGGAAAAAAAAAAAAGGCAATTCAGTCACCTGTACTAGAATTTGTTCACCTGTATGTATCTGCCATGTAGATGCTAGGAACCAAACCCAGGTCCTCTGTAGGCTGTCTTAGAATTCTGCTCTGTAGACCAGGCTGGCCTCAAACGAGATCTCCCTGCCCCTGCCTCCCAAGCGCTATGACTAAAGGCCTGCACCACCACACCCAGCGCTGGAGATGGGGAGAGAGCTTAGTGGTAGAGAACATTGGTGAGGGGGGCAGGAAAAGCCCCCAGAACCTACAGGTACATATTGGGTGAGTGGAAGGTTGACATTCCAAGCAGAGCAGATGGCCCTCAGGACAGATGGTGCAGCAAAGTAGAAAGGGAAGCTGGAAAGTGATGTCTGGTTTAATGTGCTTAGAACTGGAGGGTGCTGCTACTATGGTTCAATATTTCATGGGAAGATGAAGTTTGCCATCTTTGGGTAGGTAGCTTAAAACCTGGAAGGCAATTTAGCTTTCAAGCCATCAGGGATTGTCCTGGGATGGTATTTTTATGTGCATTTGATGTTTTGCCTGGATGCATATCTGTGTGAGGGTGTCAGATCTTGGGAGTTAACAGTTGTTAGCTGCCATGTGGGTGCTGGGAATTGAACCTGCATGCTGAGCTGTCTCTTTCCAGCCCTGGAGCTATACAAAGTTTTGGTATGCAAAGACCAAGGTCTTTCGTCTCAAAACAGATGTGAGAACCCCAATTTATCCTTAGTGTTTCTGGGCTTTTGAGACAGGACCTCAGACCGTGTTGGCCTTGTAGTCCTGCCTCTGCCTCCCAATTATAGGCACTGCTACATCATGCCCATTTGTTCAGGTTAAAACCCAAGATCTAGAACCTGACACAGTTGCCAGTTGTCTCAAGGTCTTAACACTGTGTACAAATGGTACCAAGAATTGAACCCAGGGGCTCATACATAACCTAAAAACTCATATTTACTTGGAAGCAGTGATGACCTGTCAAGTACAATACAAGCAGTTTGCTAAGGTTATGTTTGTACTTAAGTAGAGTGCTAGATCTAGAGATCAAATAATGTGTAAGCCAGGCATTAACCTAGTAGACACAGAAGGGGAAAGAAAAGAGCTGAGCCTAACAGTGGCTCCAAGTGATAACTGAACTTCTCAATCTAGGAAAATAACACACAGTTGTATTTTGCTGAAAGTCGTATAAAGGTCACTGACTTGGGTTCTTTTTTTTTTTTTTTGGTTTTTCGAGACAGGGTTTCTCTGTGGCTTTGGAGGCTGTCCTGGAACTCACTCTGTAGACCAGGCTGGCCTCGAACTCACAAAGATCCGCCTGTCTCTGCCTCCCGAGTGCTGGGATTAAAGGCGTGCTCCACCAACGTCTGGCGGGTTCTTTTTCTCAAGCTGGCAGAGCAGATGATGGCTTTGAGTCTGAACTTGTCTGGTCTGTATGCCAGAAATGGCCTTGGTGCTAAATAAACTCAAATGGCCCTGGGGTACTCCAGTACAATACAGTGAAGCGCTCCTCCATGTCTCCTACTTACACAGACGGCACAAGACACAAGTCAACATTCATGGAACAGTTTATTTGCCTACCTCTGCAGGCAGGCCACCCCTTGTGAGGAGAAATGTCCATAGTTTTACTCTGCTTGGATGCAGCTTGTGTCCACGGAGAGACTATGGCTAAGTTAGCGCAAAGCTCAACCTGAGAGGTCCAGACTCAGCTCCACTTGATGTTCTTGTCCTCCTCGGTCATGGCTGGTGTGTCAGTGACAATGCCAGTGCCAATGGTCTTGTTGCCATCTCTCAAAGTGAAACGCTGGCCTTTCTCTAAAATCATGGGTTGCCGCAAGACTAGGCTGAGCTTTAAGTCCTCTCCAGGCATGGCAAGCTCCTGAGAGAAGGGAAAACAGGAAAATGCAGCAGGTTGAAAAGTTCTCCATCCTTCCCTCCCAGCTGCTAGACACAAACAGCATGAAAAAGTAAAGGGATCATGATCAGGAATTTGGTATGCAGTTTTAGTAGTCACTGGAGTATTCTGAGACCCCAGTGTTTGACAAAACACGGAAGAAACAAAACACACCCTTTTCTATGGCATGTTTCTCTGGGAATGCTGGTGTTGCTAAACTTTCAGCTTAATCTGGTCTGGGGAATGCTAGATGAGGACATATCCGGTCCTTCCTTTCCAAAGAAATGGCTAACTACTGTGTCATGATATATCTTTAGGTAGAATTCTTTTTTTTTCTTCTTTGAGACAGAGTTTCTCTGTAGCCCTGGCTGTTTTGGAACTCTCTGTAAACCAGGTTGCCTTCTGAGTACTGGGATTAAAGGCATGCACTACCACAGCCCAGTTCTATTCCTTTTAGATCCTCTAAGCCCCGTCATACCTTCTCTGGAGGCAAGATGACACGACAGGCCATGTCCCAAGTCAGGGAGAACATGACAGGCATAAAGTGAGATACGAATGGTTTGTGGCGGCCACCCTCCTCCTTGCTGAGGATGTAAACCTAGGAGAGGAACAAGGGTAGAATGGTCTTCTGAAAGTCCTGCTTCTATGCAAACAACCTGGCCTACCCCTGCCCAACTATCACCTGGAGCCCTCACCTGGGCCTCCACCTTCTGGTGGGGCTGGATGGAGCCTGGCTTGACCATGACCAAGCCACGCCTCAAATCTTCTCGCTTTAGGCCTCGGACCAGGGCACCCAGGTTATCCCCTGCTTCGGCCCTCTCAAGGCTCTTGTGGAACATCTCAATGCCTAGGAAGAAGACAGAGAAGGTAGTCTGAGGCAGAAGGAAGGTACAAGACCTACATGAGAAAGGATCATTCTGAGATCACCCCAGGGTTTGAAGCCTCATTTCGTCATACCTGTCACTATAGTTCGAATATTCTTGTTATGTCCCAGCAACTCACACTCATCTCCCTTCTTCAAAATGCCACGCTCTAGTGTACCGGTCACCACTGTGCCCCGGCCTAGAAATAAAAAGGATAGGTCACCAGGGACCCCAGGTCAGGTGGTCCCTATGGGGAGGGGGTGCAAGTGAGCACAGGCCTCACCGGGAATAGAATAAACTGACTCTATGGGGAGCAGAAAGGGCTTCTCCAGGTCCCGGGTGGGGACCGGTATGTAAGTGTCCACGGCGTCCAGCAGCTTCTGCACCGACTTCACACCTAGCTCAGGGTCACGTTGCTGTTGGAGAGAGATAACACGACTGAAATTTCTGCTCCTCAGGTGCAGAGGAAGAAAGTTCTACCCCATCCTCTAACAGTAAGGAGCAGCCTCTGCTTTCACCTCAAGGGCACAGAGAGCAGAGCCTATGATGACTGGGGCCTCTTCTCCTTTATATCCAAACTCGGTGAGCAGCTCCCGGATCTCCAGCTCCACCAGCTCCACCATCTCTGAGTCCTGGACAGCGTCTGCCTTGTTCACGTACACCACAACGTGCTCCACCCCTATCTGCAAGTGAGAAAGAGGCTGAGATGGTACCCTCTGTTACCCAAATTCTCACTGACCTCCGTCCCACTTAGACCCTGGTACCTGTTTAGCCAGTAGTAAGTGCTCTCGGGTCTGCGGCATGGGCCCGTCGTTAGCTGCCACCACCAGGATGCAGCCGTCCAGTGGGGCGGTGCCTGTGATCATATTCTGGGCGGGAGAGGAAGAAAGTCAGCTTAGCTCAAGGACCTCTTCAACAGTGCATTGTCAAGATGCCCACCATTCTGCCATGTCCTCACCACCCGCAGCTGCAGCCACAAATCCTTGTTCTCACATCCAAATAACTTCCTCCCCTCAAACCTCCACTGACCTGAAGAAGCAGGTTCTGATTGTCCCCAGCAACCCTCACCTTAACATAATCTGCGTGACCAGGGCAGTCTGTGTGGGCATAGTGGCGGGCAGCAGTGCTATACTCCACATGAGCTGCATTGATGGTGATACCCCGAGCTCGCTCCTCAGGGGCATTGTCTATCTCCTCGTACTTCTTGAATTTAGCTCCACCTCCCTCGGCTAGAACTACCGGAGGAAAGAACACACCTCTCAACTCGGGTTCAGAGCTGCAGACAAGGCTCGGGACACACGCCTGGATCCCTCACACATGAACAATCTGGATGGGTAAGTTTCAGGAGACGTAACTTTGCAGGGGGAGGGGGTTACCGACAGAAAGACTTATTCAAGGGGTCTGTCCTTGCCACGGACCGCTTCAACTTCTCCACTGACAGGTCTCCTGAAACTCTCTCTCCACACAGAAAGGACCCATTGGGACTGTTTCAGGTTGTGCCTCACAGGACTCTTCTTGCACAGGGAAACCTGTCTCTGCATCTTCCAAAACATCCCTCGTCTGAAGTGTCTTTTGGCGCCAAGCTAAACTTACTACAGACACCCTACTCCCCAGCTCTGGTCCTTCCAGCTGACAGGGCATTGCCGGACGCCCCCAACCAAACCAAGCCAAACTCACTTTTCGTGATGGCCGCGGTCAGGGTGGTCTTGCCGTGGTCCACATGGCCGATGGTACCCACATTCACATGGGGCTTGTCGCGCACGTAGGTCTTCTTGGCCTCCACGGCTAGGCCGCGACACAAGAAGGGCGATGCCCGGGCCTTCAGCGGCCGCAGTCGACCTTGCAGAATTGGGGTCGGGCTGGCGCAGAGACCTGCGGTGAGAGGAGCTTGGCGTCAAGGGAGTGCATCCGAACCCAGCTACCTCGACGCCCCTCGGGTCTCCGGGCTGCCTGCCCCCAACCCGCTCCTCACCGCTGAAGCGGGGCGTCGCTCGCAATAACGTAGCGGCCGCCATTGTGGTAGTACTCGGCGACCGGGACCGAGAATTGGGCACCGGGAAGCCGCGCGTGCAGAGAAGGACGGGCACTTGCGACTACAGATCACTTCCGGCGGAAACGAGAGCGGGAGAGCGAGTCTGGGAACCTCTAGCCGCCGGTTTTTATGGTCATGGCCCACTGATATCCGGGCATAAGGCGGAAGAGGAGGATTCTAGTGTCTCGCGGAGAACAGAATTTCCACAATTCAGGTTGAGGGATCGGTTTAGGAAAACGAGCAGCATCCCACAATGCACCAGCGCACTCGAAGGCTTCTGGGCGTTGTAGTTTCCAGGGCGGCAGGCGTTAGCTAGGGCTGGGTTCGGTCGGTTGGGAAGGTCTCACCCCCAAGTCCATGAGAAGCAAAATTAAATAGAGTTAGGGATGGGGTCATAGAGTTCCAGTCCTCGGCTCTTCTTAGATACCGCCCCCATGTCCCTTGTAGGAATCCTATGCTTCCTAATATTCCGAAGTCACACTCTCCTCCCCCAATAGTCCTTTGGTCGCTTGAGAAGCAGTTTTCTTTCTTTCTTTCTTTCTTTCTTTCTTTCTTTCTTTCTTTCTTTCTTTCTTTCTTTCTTTTTTTTCCCTTCCTTCTCCCCTCCTTCCTTTCGAGACAGGGCCTCACTACATTTCCTTGGTTGGTCTGTAACTCGCCCTGTAGAGATCCGCCTGTCTCAGTGATAGGATTAAGGGCGTGCACCGCAAAATCCATATAAAATTTCTTGGTGGTAGCTGCACCCGCCCTATTTTATTCCTGTAGCACCGAGGATTAAGATCAGCTTTGAGAGCTTCTGATAACCTGGGTCTTTTGTCTCCAAAGTGGAGCACGTGACAGATACCTGGTAAATGCCTTTTGGCTAAAAGATTGAATGTGAAGGTAGTAATGACTGTGAACTTTCACATCCGTGTCTTCTAACGGCTTCCTCGCCTCTCCCAAGGCGATAATAGACGCTACTTAACTCTTTTTTTTTTTTTTTTTTTTTTTTGGTTTTTTCGAGACAGGGTTTCTCTGTGGCTTTGGAGGCTGTCCCGGAACTCACTCTGTAGACCAGGCTGGCCTCGAACTCACAGAGATCCGCCTGCCTCTGCCTCCCGAGTGCTGGGATTAAAGGCGTGCACCACCAACGCCCGGCAGACGCTACTTAACTCTTGAATTCCTTTCTGAAATTTACCCTATCAAAACTCAATTGAAGCCGGGCGTTGGTGGCGCACGCCTTTAATCCCAGCACTCGGGAGGCAGAGGCAGGCGGATCTCTGTGAGTTCGAGGCCAGCCTGGTCTACAGAGTGAGTTCCGGGACAGCCTCCAAAGCCACAGAGAAACCCTGTCTCGAAAAACCAAAAAAAAACAAAAACAAAAAAAAAAAACAAAAACTCAATTGACTGTATTTGTTGCAAATACTGTACATTCCCTAGTTCCATCCCTAGAGAGATGGGGATTTAGAGTCTGAGCACAAACAAGGAAGCTATATCACACCTCTTCTAAAAAATCAAACCGAGCTACATACAGGCACACATTACTGTAAAGATTCAGGCATGCTGTCCGGCCCCTGTCACCTGGCAGGATACACTCAGGAGTAACTTGGTCAGCATGCAGGTGTAAAGGACCCTTTTAAAAGAAAGAGTCCCGCCCACTTACACACTTTTCCCCTCGCTTTCCAGCTGTTCACCTGGGACACACAGGACTTGTCCTGTCCCCTCTTCTCTTCTGTCCTTTCTCTGTGTCTCTTTACCTCTTTTCCCTTTCCTTCCCCCTTCCCTTTCTAATAAAACTTCTCGCTAAGCTCTGTCTGCCTGGCACGTTTGTCCCCTGCCTCAGTCACCCTCGCCTGCCACGAAATCCTCCAAGGTTCCTGTCATGCTTGCTTTATCATAACCCTTATGATCCCAGCACTTAAGATGCTGAGGAAGGAAATCAAGTTCTAAGACCTGAACACAGATTGAAAAGGCGAAAGTAAACAACAATCAGTTAAAGTGTTACTAGGATCTTTTGCTACTCCCCTCAGTCTTTATGATCTTTTTATCTAAAGAATTCAGAAAAGAGCCGGGTGTTGGTGGCGCACACCTTTAATCCCAGCACTCGGGAGGCAGAGGCAGGCAGATCTCTGTGAGTTCCAGGCCAGCCTGGTCTACAAAGTGAGTTCCAGGACAGCCTCCAAAGCCACAGAGAAACCCTGTCTCGAAAAACCAAAAAAAAAAAAAAAAAAAAAAAAAAAAAGCAAACCATAGGGGATGAATGGGACTCAGCTGGAGTGCTTATGTGGGAAGCCTTGGATTTGATCCCTAGCAGTGCAGAACTCAGTATGGTGGGGCACACCTGTAATCCCAGCACTCAGGAGATGGAGGCAAGGCAACCAACCCATCAGAATACCGACCCTCACTGGGTGGCAGGGGTTGGCACAAGCCTTTAATCCCAGCATTTGGGAGGCAGAAGCAGGAGATCTCTGTGAGTTCGAGACCAGCCTGGTCTACAAAGTGAGCTCCAGGATAGCTACAGTGCTTACACAGAAAGACCCTGTCTTGAGAAACTTAAAAAAAGGGGGTGGGGGACTGGAGATATGGCTCAGGGTTGGAGGGATGGCTCAGCAGTTAAGAGCACTGGCTGGCTGCTCTTCCAGAGGACACGGGTTCAATTCCCAGCACCCACATGGCAGCTCACAACTGTCTGTAACTCCCAGGGAATCTGACACATTCACACAGACATGTAGGTGAGCAAAATATCAATGCATATAAAATAAAAATAAATAATTTCTTGAGGGTTTTTCGAGACTGGGTTTCTCTGTATTGTTCTGGAGGCTGTCCTGGAATTAGCTTTTGTAGACCAGTCTGGCCTTGAACTCAGAGATCTGCCCACCTCTGCCTCTCCTGTGCTGGGATTAAAGGTGTGTGCCACCAACACCCGGCTAAATAAATTATTTTTAGAAAAGATCAACCTTCCACCTTGTAAATTCAAGGACATTTTAGGATACATGAGACCCTGCCTCAAAAAAGTAATCCTAGTACTTGATGGGCAGGAACAGGAGGACTGAACATTTAATGACAACTTCTGTTACATAGGGAGTTTGAGACTAGCCTGGGATGCATGAAATCATGTCTCAAAAAAAACAATAAAAAGGTGAGGGGCTGTGAGTGAAGGTGATTCTACCAAACCTGATAAGCTGACTTCAGTCACTGGCGCTCACAGGTTGGATGAAGAAAACCAACTCCTGTAACGGTCCTCTGATTTTCACATGTGCACCAAGATGTGCATATATACATACACACATGTAAATAAACACATGTGCTGGGTGTTGGTGGCACATGCCTTTAATCCTAGCACTTGGGAGGCAGAGGCAGGTGGATCTCTGTGAGTCCGAGACCAGCCTGGACTACAAGAGCTAGTTCCAGGACAGCCTCTAAAGTCACAGAGAAACCCTGTCTCGAAAAGCCAAAAAATAAAATAAAATAAGTAAATAAACACATGTGAACACACATGTAAATAAACAGATGAATAAATGAGTATTATTTTTAGATGTTTTTTTTTGTGTGTGAGCTTGGTTGTGGTGGTGCATGCCTTCAGTACTATAGCATTTGGAAGGCAGAGGCAGTAGAATCTCTAAGTTCAAGGCCAACCTAGTCTACAGAGCAAGTTCCAGGACAGCCATGGTGTAAAATATGATTTTAGTTTTGAGATATGTTACATTCATTTATACTGTAGAATATTTGCCTAGTGATGCAAAGATGTACTGCATTCTTTTATGCTTCATTTGTTTAACTCTGCAAAGCTGTATTACTCTGCCTGCCTAAAATACCTGATTGATCTAATAAAGAGCTGAACAGTCAATAGCTAGGCAGAAGAGAGAGATAGGTGGAGCTGCCAGGCAGAAAGAATAAATAGGAGGAAAAAAATCTAGGGAAGAAAGAAAAAAGGGAAAATGCCAGGGGCCAGCCACCCAGTGGCACAACCAGTCACAGGGTAAGAAGGAGAGAAAGATATATACAGAGAAACAGGATAATTTGTTAGAAAAGCTGACTAGAAACAAGCCAAGCTCAGGCTGGGCACTCATAAGTAAGAGTAAGTCTGTGTGTATTTATTTGGGAGCTGGGTGGTGGGCCCCCAAAGGGTTAAAAAAAACCAATTTCATTTTGGTGTTCCAATTTGAGACCCAAATTTCCACATAGAGCCTGAGAAAGCTGAAAAACAAACAAAACAAAAAACGATACAGTTCCTTGCAGCAGAGCACTTAAACAGCCTTTTTCATAGAAACAGGAAGGCTGCCACTGTGCAGGACACTGGTATTCCAGAGCTGAGGGGTTGAATGGAGTTCTCAGTCACCTACTTCCCACTGGGACCATCCAGCTTTAGGCATAGCTTGCAAAGACCCAAGAAGTGGACAGAGTCAACTGTCAAAGCCATGGCAGAGGTCCTAACCACTTAGCGGTTTAAAAGCTCATGTGGTCAAAAAATACTAGAGACATGCAGCAGAGCAGGTTTAGACAGAAAACAAACAAACAAATGAAAACCCCAAACCTCTAAACAGGTTACAGTGTATTTAAAAATATATGTGTTGTGCCCAAGTTGCAAAGTCCCCAGAGACCACCGGGAAGACAGATCCACTAAACTGCCAAAGCAAAATTTAATGATTGTTTATCCAACCATGACAGGGACCCCGTCTGGCTAGCTGTCCCAGCAACCTCCAGAGGGAGTGAAGTTCCCTGTCTACTGCTAGGTTTTAAAGACAAAAGTTACAGGATTATATCAGTAGGTAGGGGTTGGTTTCTAATTGGTTAACGTTAGGAGCATTTCACAAAGTCATATTTTGGCATGAAATACCTGTATACCAATTATTTTCATTCGTCAGTGCTGAGAGGGAATATTTTTTGGTTTCAATGGCATTTTCTTGTTACTTGCAGGTGGCTTGTTGTACATAGATACCAGTAGTTTTCAGAACTATATCCTGGAGACTACAAGGGAGGTTTTGGTCCCCTCTGGAGTCTCTTTTGTGGCCAAACAGTTCTCGGGAACCAAGCATCTAGGAGGTAGGTTGGGGGGTGGGGGGTCTGGAGTTTCTTTGTGTTCAGTTTTGGCCCTAGACTCCAGGAGGCCAGAGGATCTGGAGTGTGTCAGAGGCCTACGTGTCTTTTCTGTAGACTGTCATGGCT